TCATATTCTCATTTTAATTCAGTCCAGCTTGTGTCCATTTCTATTCACTCCATTGAACTACTTTTGTGGGGGTCACCAAAGACCTTGCTGCTGCCAGATCTAATGATCTTCTTTGAACTTCTCAACATCATTCCTGCAAACTTTTCTTCTCTTGGTTCTATAGCATTTCCCTCTCCACATTTTCTTCCTCTTAACTAGATGTTTCTCCCAGTTGCCTTGGTTGGTACTTATTCTCTGCAAATCTCTAAACACTGTCAGCCACCACTGTACCATCCAGCATCACGCTTGTATGCCCCACTTCTCCCCCTTGCTTCTCTTCTCTTTTCTCTCACTAGCTTCCCTCTATACTACCATATTCAAACCCACTAATTGAATGCCATCTACATTGATAGCTCCAAAAATAAAACTCTCATTCTTCATCCCAAAAATCTTTTGCTTCCACAGTCTTATCCATCTCAATAAAAACACCAAAATCAGTCCATTTGCTCAACATAAAAAGCTAGCAAAGGGTACAAATGTTTTAAAATATGGCTTTTCTAATTGGATATTGTAGTTTTTAAGTCTTCTTGAATGTTCTTTAATTGCTGCTAAATGACGTTGCTTCTTTTGCTAAAAAATTAAATGACCTTTGAAGGTGCAAGTTGACTATACATCATAGGGAAATATTAAAAGAGATATTGGGCACTCACTAATAATCAAGGCATGTAAAAATGATCCATGTGGGCCGTATTGAGTTCTTTAAGTCAGTTTCCTGAGTTCTAGGGCTGTGGACCACATAGATATTAGATTTATAAACTGCTCATGGTTATTCAACATTTCTAGAAAGGTTCTTATCATCAAGGTGAGATGATGGTCCCACAAACAAGTTTCTTGTGGTTTGTACAAATTTGTTAAAATGTGAATACTTCCTAACTGCCTTTTATGGTAGAAATCAGTATTTTTCAGGATGCTGTGTTTCATTCCTGTAAGGATTTTTTCTTTATTGTCACATTAATAATGCTGATACTTACATGTAAGTTGCCCATGTTGCAGAAAACCAGAAGCTACACCTCCCACAGAATCCCCTTAATATTATACATTTAAACTGTGGCTTTTATCTCTGATGTTGAAAGCCATTTTGTTTTTTCACTGTACATAGACACATTGTCTCTTTAAGACGCTGCTGAAATTGTAGAGAATGTAGCCAAAACAGTAATAAACAATAACAGTTAAAATGCAAAAAAAAAGCTAGCAAAGGAATAATCTGCACAAGTGACAAATGTGCACATTCTATTGATTCTACCACCTAAATATAACTTTTATATATACACTTCTCTCCTTAACTGCAGTTGTTACCAACTCTTCCAAATGCCTACAGTCACCTCCTAACTTGTTTCTTTGCTTCCACTCTAATCTTCCCATGATTTGATCTCTACACAATAACTAAATGATTTTAAAATGAAAATCAAATCACATCATACACCTGCTTAAAATTCTTTTAATTTTTGTCATATTTATATAAATATAACAATAAAAAGTAAATATAAAACTAAAGAAATATCAAATCACATAAAACAGACTTTTATAAAGACTTTTTTTGCTTGTCTTTTCCCAATCCCCCTCTCCCTTTACACATATCCTCAGACTCCACCTTCAAATAACTCATATTAACAACACAATGCATATCTTTCCTTATTTCCCTCCTTAACTGTATTAACATAAATACAAACATAAAAAGATATAGGTATATCTTTGTCACTATAATGGTTCATTATGCAGTTCCATAAAAATTATTTTTCTTGGTAATGCCTCATAAAAATTCCCCTATGGCCATATAAAAGTCTAACGCATTCTTTTCAATGATTTTAAAATATTTTTTAGTATGGATGTGGCATAACATTTTCAATTCTTTCCCTGTTTGCAGGATTTGTTTAATAATCAAAATTGCAAAAAAATTCCTCTACTACATCCTCATTTTTTTTTTTCTTTCCTGTACCGGGGATAGAACTTGGATCCTTGCGCTTGCACAGCAGGCGGCAAAACCACTGAGCTAAATCCCCAGCTACATCCTCATTTTTTTAATTTGACAAGTATGTTTTCTAAGATTTCCAAATCAAATGAGGATTTTAATTTAAAGAAAGGCTGACAAGTTGCTTTTCAAAAAGTTAAAATAACCCACATTGGCACCATTAGCATATTTGTGTACCCTCTTCTCCCGGGCTGCTGTGTTCTTTGCACAAGCCTCTCAGACTCACTTCAGGTTCTTGCTTGATCCTTAGGAAACCCATCTCCACCAACAAGCGTGCTCTCACACTTTTTGATAAAAGTATGTCATTATTATTTAATTTGATATATTTTTAAAATATTTATTCCTTTTAGCCTTTCAGGCCACAAATTTAATTTCAAAAATGATAATCATCTTTCTAAATTGAACCATTCAATATTTAATTTTTTAATCTTTGCAATTTTTGTTTTTGGTACCATTATAGCCTTTTTTTTTTTTTTGGTCCTGTGTCTCAGTATTCTTATGTGTGTTTTTCTTGCCATTGTTGTTCAGGTTGGTATGTTTCCTCAAGTAATTGTTTTGATGAGCACTTAATCTATTTTATATCATCTCTGTCTGCACAACTCCCTTATTTGCATTATAATATTTCTTTGTTGGCTTATTGGGGCCACTTTCATGTTACTGGAGGTAGCCTTGGAAGATTAAAATAAGATGTCTTTAAATTCTACTAGCTGAATTGGGTCAACAAGCATTCTGTCTCTCCATTGCTAAGCCCCAGAAGGTAGTCTTCTGGGTCCCAGTTTCTTCCCACAGCATAAGCCTAGCCTCATGTTCAAGTAAGCTTTGCTTTCCCCTTTGCAGTCCTCCCCTGGTGTTTATGAGGCCATGGAAAGCCTCATATAAAGCCAATTTCAACTTTATTCCTGGTTTGCCTAAAACATCTCTTTGCCAAGTTTTTCTAAAGGACTGTGTGGTTCTTTATTTGTACACAGCTCTCAGACTAATCTTAGGGTTCTCACCTGACCCAAGGGAGAAAAAGCTGTTGATCATCTTGCTTTCTTGACTTTTCACAAATCTCAATTCTGTTGGACCTCAGAGAGGTAAATACATTAGAATGGGAATTGAAAGAAAACTTAGAATTTTAGTTATCATCTTTTCAGGATTCTGGCATTCACTAATTTAGAAATAACATCCAAATTTCTTACTATGTCCTACAAAGGCCCTCTAAAATCACATCCCTAACCACCTGGGAAAATTCAACTTAGACACCTTTTCCTTTGCTCATGTGACTTGAATCACAATGGCTTTGCTTTTATCCCTCAAATATGCCAATCTCATTCTTATGGGTGCTCATACCTGCTGATATCTCCATCTAGAAAACTGTGCTCTTCTCTCCTTGATTGTCAACTTTGCATCTTTCAGGTCTCACTCAAATGTCATCTCTTCAAAGGGACTTTATTTGATCACTTAAATACTCTACTTTGAGTCACTCCATCTCATATTTTATATTCTCCATACCACTTAGCACTATCTCAAGTTATCATCCATTTATTTCTTGGTATGTTTTATTGGTTTCCTCTAATGAATCACCAAGAAAACATGATTCTTATCTACCTTGCTCGTGATTTCATTCCGTAAGATATTTATTGCATAAATAAACACATCCCAATTGCTTTGGAGCAGGAGGAAAAAATATAAATTAAATCTTTTGTCATTTCTAACAAATTGCTTTTTATGAAGTCCGTCTGTCAAAGCAAAAGCCATGGAGAGTTCATTTATTGTCTAGTGATATGTTCGGGTCTTACTGTAAGAATCCATGCCTTAGATTAAAGAGGTGGAGCAGAAAGCAATTGAGGCAATTGAGAAAGTGAGTCTTTTTTTTTTTTTTTTTTTGGTACCGGCGATCTAACTTGGGACCTTGCACTTGTGAGCTAAATCCCCAGCCCAAGAAAGTGATTCTTACATAAAATTTTTCTAAGAGATTTCTACTCACCACGTTACGATTTATATCAAAAGCCTCATGTAGTCAGACATGGCAATTTGATAAGGTGATTTGATCATGGGGAGCATGATACTCAGCAGTGCACTAATCCATATAGCTAAATGTGATTTGGGAGGTGCAGCCTGGTCAGAGGTGGGTCACTGGGGGTGTGAGCTAGATCTATCTCTTCCCCAATCTTTCCTTGATCCATGTCTCTGTTTCCCACTGCCATGACACAAGCTCTTTCTCCTCTGCTATGCCCCTCTGTCATGCCACCCTATCTTTGAGCCAGCTGACTATGGACTAAAACCTCTACAAACTGTGAGCCAAAATAAACCTTTCCTCCATTAAGTTGTGGGTGTTGAGTATGATGTGTCAGCAATGAGAAAGTAATTAAGGCATCACATTTTAAATATGTCAGGAACATATTATTGAAAAAGTAGGAAAAATAGATTATACTCCAGGCAATATAGGAGTCAGCCATTGTGCAAAAGAAAAAAGATAGAAACATCTCCTCTGAGGATATTTCTGTTAAGTTTTATTGCATTGATATTCAGTATGTCTGTATGTGAATTTACCTCTTAAAAATGAATAGTCTGATTGGAATTAATATGAGAGAATGAAAAAATGGAAACAAAGTCTTTGTAAATAGGGAAGGATGGAGGGGTTGAAGGGAGGGCAGGGGAATGGGGAAAAAATAAGAACCAGGAGAGATTATGTAAAGGTGCAAATTTCCAATGATGAATGTCATTATACTGTATACCTAAAATGTACCAATAAAATAAAATAAAATAAAATAAAAATGAAGTCTTTCCTACCATGCTGTTTCCAATAATCCAGAAAAATCTCAACATGGAATGTTTCATATTAAGGAATTATTTAATTCCTGTAAGATATAGAGAACTTAAATGAAACATACTTAGCTGTACGCTGATAAATGATCAAGCTGAATGATGGCTACTTACCTCATTATACTACACTATTTGTGTTTGTATGGAAAAAATACATCATTTTTTATTTTACTTTTTCTAACAGGTAAATAAAACATTTCATGAATCCAAACTAAGAAGACAGTATGTCAAATCTCATGTTGTTCAAGTAAGGTATGTACATTAGACTTGAGAGGTACAGAGTTATGCCCTTCATCTCCACTTCTCATACTCAACAGAATGTTTTTTGCTTGGCACACAATTGAAAGGTTGAAATAAGTTTGAATTTGGTGTATTAAAACCCCAAGCACTTCAAATATAAAAAACTAAAATCTGATAGAAATTTATTAAACCACACCAAAGATTTCTACCTGATTATGAGCAACAGATGAAGGTTAAATGAGGGTTCTCTTTTGATTTGAAGGTACAAGGTCAAAAAGCAAATCTAAATTGGAGTATCATTTCAAAATTAAAAAAAGAACAAGTAAGATAAGACAGCTATTCACAAAATGGTCTAGCTTACACTTGTATTTTTGACTTGCACATAAAATTGAAAAACTGATTAAATGTAAACATTGAGGCATTTCATATTAAAATAATAAATTTCAGACATTACTGAAGAATCAAAATCTGTGATAATACTGGGCTCACATTCCCACATCATAACAATGGACAGAAACTGTGGGTCTGCAGGCTGCAGCAGTTCCTAAAGCTCACACCGTGTGTGTGTGTGTGTGTGTGTGTGTGTGTGTGTGTGTGTTTATACCTATCGGCTTCACTTCTCATCACTATCCTGACCCCCTAGAAATCAAACTTCACAGCTGTGTCAAGCAGCCAAGATATTTATCCAAATAATGCTGAGGAGCAGAAAACTGAATATAAATAATCTGGAGAAAAATAAGTTTAAATGGACAGGAATCTAGTACATCAAAAAAGTTTATACAGAAGAAAAAAACAGCATGTCTCTAGAAACCCAGCTTCCTAAAGAAAGGAAACAGAGTCAGTGAGTGAAGCAGTACATTATTTTTTGCCACCAAGAAACAAACACCAAGCCCCAGTTAGCATTAAATTTTCAGTAATTATTTGACATCTGTGATATCCTCATTGTGCTATGTCATGAAAACCAAACAGGAAATAATACCCAGAATAAACCCTTCGTAAGCTTATAATACAGTTAATGGATTCAATGCTTAGAATATGCATTATTTACTCATGGGCAAGAAACTGTGCTGGACTCTGTTGCATGATAATGAGTTCTAATATGAATAAAATATGATTTCTGTTCTTATGAATAATTGAGAAATCAATTAAATAATTGATTTCCCTTAGCTAATGTGTCCTGGAAAAAAAAAGTTTTGAAGCAGACAACCTAGGTAGTGGAGATCTCTAGTTTGTAAATCCTAGAAAAACATAGCTACCTAGATGAATGCAGTGTGAGTCTGGATGAGAGCAAAACTGCAAGCGTGGGTTAGAAACTAAGGAAGCCACTACATAGCTCTGCCCTGGAGTGAGATTCCTTCAGTATTTTATGATTTGTTTTGTGTTTTGGTTTTTTGGTACCAGGGATCATACTCAGGACCTTGTGCTTGTGAGGCAGGCAGCGCCACCACTGGGCTAAATCCCTGGCCTAATGATTTGTTTTTTAAACAAGCTCAATGTAGTGGACTATGGCCCCCTTATGTGCATTAAACATGTTATCTTTTCCTTTGCTATTTATTATAAGCATCATTAACCATTAAAATGTTACAAATAAAGTACTGTGCTTGATACTACGCTGGAGCTAAGAAGCTTCCTAGTGTAACCAAGAGATTAAAATGAATCTTCAAACATTAGGATTCTTTTTCAAAAATGAAGCTATATTTCCAGCTTCCTCATGCTGAGAACAGAAACTTCCACTCCCAGGCCTTTTGCAAGAGTGCTTCAAAAGAGCCAGATTTTCAGCATTTCCTGGCCCCTCTGGTGAGTCAAAGCCTGGTTAAATCTACACATGCATGTTTCCTTGCTTTAACTTTGCCCCTTCTATAAATTAAATTGCTTCTGTGGGCTTGAGACTAGCTGCCTTCCCAATTTGGCTAAATTGTTAGTAATCTTATTTTTCCATTTGTATGGGATTTTCTCATATTCTCTCAATGGTAGGCAGGCAAATAAATTCAGATAGTCAGGGATGGATTCAAGCCTCTAGAACCATCCACTTCTCTATACCTAGAAGCATAATAACTGTCTTTACCACCCTGTATTAACCTAACTCAGGATAAGATAAACACAGAAGCATAAACTAAGATCATATTTTAAATTATTCTTTAGTGCTATTTGGAGGAGGGAAAGTTTCTGCAGGAACAAAAAATAACTTTCAAAATGGATTAGTAAACCATTCCTGCAGGGGAAAGCATTCTTGAAATGCAATAATTCTATAGGCCTTTGACAAAAATTACATGAAATTCTACCCAAAAGCTCAACTTGCATGTGTTACAACTGCCAACATTTTTTAAATATACCTATTTGGATTTGAGTTGCATTAAATCAATGCCTGTAATCCTAAATTTTCCCTCCCCTTCTCGAGGTAATTTTTAAAATGCAATTAGAAAATATGCCTAAATATATTTAAGACTAGTATTAAGTGCTTAAATTACACTTGATCTTAGCCAAAAGGCTGAGAAGCGATAAAGTACTTAAAGTAAATTAAGTCCATAACAAAAATAAAATAAATTCTTTAGTATTTGTAATAAAAATCTCAATGACTAAAATAAATATGATATAATTGTTTTCAGTGTCCATAAAAAATAAATAAACATAAAAATGTCTTTCCAGAGTAACATTATTTAATAGGATGAAATGACATATAAGTCAGAAGTGATTTCTAAGTGTAGAAGGAAAAAATAATAGCTACAAACACATATAGGAAAGTTAATATAATTTGGAATCCATTTATGACTAAAAAGCACAGCATGTGATATTTTATTTTCTTGGTTTATTTTTAAATAATTATGGTTTATTTTTAATGCTCTTAATCTGTATCTCCTTAGAGCTCATTTAACTTAGTTAAAATCCTATATAGTTTGTATTTATTAGTTTCACGTTTTACAGCTGAATAAACTAAAGCCAAGATAAGTTAAGTATCTTGCAAAGGTGACACATTTAATAAATAATAAAGCTACAATTTAACCCTAGGCAATCTATCTAGATCACTGTACTAATCCGTCTAATCTCCAGCTTTTGCTCCTACTTAACTACATTTCATCTTCATATAGTAACCAAAATGGGATGGAAAAGTGTGCCATTCCCATTTGATGCCCTCCGACAGCTTCCCACAAAGTCCAGACTCTATTCTAATACACAGGGCCCTTCTTGAACCAGCCTCAAGGCGCTCTCTGAGCTCATCTCATGCCCTCCCTGGTTCTCACTCACAACTGCACATCCACACTGAAACTACTGCTCTTCCACTAAACACACTACAGTTGTTCCTATCCCAAAGCTAGCAAACACAGACAGCTCTGGACAACATTACACAGACTTTATTCAGTGCTATTGCAGTGAAGGGAAAGGCCCGAACTAAGTCCTAACTGCTGAAGCAAAAGGTAGCAGAATTTTAAAGGCAGAGACGAGAGAGAGAACTTAGATTATCTGCATGCTAATTGGCTTTACCTAAAGAAAAACGATATCCAGCAAGGCTCCCATCCTCTGGAGGTACAAGGGGTGGCCTGCCACCTGCTTTGATAGTTGCATTTTCATGAGACTGCTTTCAGGTCCTTGGAACTGGAATTTCCAGGATTCTAAAATTGGCAAATGTTCTTAAAAGATTAACACACACTTCAAAGAAACAGAGAAAGAATTTATAATTGCAAGTTTTATAAAGTAAATGCTCTATGAGAAGAACAAGGCCTGTGATCAGGAAGAAAGCTAAATTTAAAAAGCTAATGGATTCCTCCTCCAGACTTAGTGTGACTTACTTCTTTTTGTCATTAGGCTCCCACTTCAAGGAGGCCTGCCCAAAGCTGTCTCTCTACAAGAATACAGACAGTATGTGAGCAGGAACCTAGTGGCCTTATATGCTGATCAAGCTCTGGCACCTAGAACCCTGTCTAACCTATTGTTTGGGCTACAACGCAACTGTTAAATGAACTAACAAATATAAAGTTCAGGAATGGAAAGCAAAACTGCCTGTGGCAAAGAATGGTAGACATTGTCAATAAAACTAAAGAGTATTTTGTGAATCAAGAAAAGGTAAAAGAAAAATGACCTTTAGTTCATGTTTTCCACGGTAAAGAGAATACTTAGATTCTAATGGCTTCTGAATAATGATTCATATGTCTATTTTTAATTTGGTTTCAGGTTGTTATTTGATCCAGGAGAAAAGTTCAGAGTGACATCTGTAGTTTAACAAAATATTCAAAATAAACTAAATTATGTCCTCGTCTTTCCATAAGCAACAAAGGGGTTGTCCTGCACTGCACCTGTAAGAGACATAAAAACAGAAATGAAAATACTTAATAAGTTAATGTGAAATTATTAATGGCTCAATACTGTATAAAAGAAATAAAATAATGCCCCAATAGAAAGGACTCTGGTACATCTACACTTTAAAATATAAACTGATAAGGCATGACATAGAAATTAGTTTAACAACATTGCTTCTTGGCCTTTTGGCTAAGATCAAGTATAGAAATTAGCTTAACATGTAGCCTGAAAAAAATTATTGAAATAAGAAGGCAATATAGTCACTCAGAAAAACATGGTTCTTGGCTGTGGCTTGTATTTTTGTTCACAAGTATTTGAAAGTAGAGGTTTTCAGGCTCTTCTTAAGTTACATAGCACTTTGGGTTGTTGATTTTCAGATGTACAAATTCTAGAAATTCCTAAAAAGAGGTAAGGAAACATAGAAAGGCAGACTAGAGCAGAATAGACATTCCATCAAGTCAGTATTGGCTATTGCCTCTAAAATTTCTGGCTTAGGGTGGGTGTAGTGGTGCACATCTATAATTCCAGCACTTAGGAGGCTAAGGCAGGAGAATTGCTGCAACTTTGAGGCCAGCCTGGACTACATAGTGAGTTCAGGCCAGCTTGAACTACAAAGTGAGACCCTGTCTCAAAAAAACAGATAGACAGATATAAATAAAATAAAATTTCTGGCTTATATGTTTGTATCTTCAAAACAAAATGACAAATGAAATAAGTTTAGTTTAACAATTTTTCTCAGTACTGATTTCCAAAAGTTAAGAGCAAAATGGACCAATATTGCCAGTTGTTCCTCAATTAAAAGAAAACCAAGATAATAAATTTTTCTCTCATTACTCTTTTTTGTTATTATTTTCTATTAGCCTTTCTTACAGAGTCCATAGTAGAATTATAATAAAAAGACACATCCATCTAATTTTGTTCAACACTGAGATTTTCAAAATATCACTATATTCATTACCCAGAAGATACATACATTCTATAATGATGTTTATAATAACCAAAAAAATAAGATTATCATCTACATTTAAGAAAGGCAGAAACTTAGGTAAAGAGAATCCAGAAAGCTTACTGTAGTCAAAAAGTTGGTGGCAGAAGATCTAAAATACAAACTCCATCCCTTGAATTCAAATCATACTCTTTACATTGTTACACGTGTCCACAGAGTGCCATTTCTCCTACCTTGGGAAGGACTGTGATAGTTAACAAACAATAAAATAATTCCCCTTTTGCTTAGAAACTCCCTATCCCTGCCACTAAGAATGATAGCTCAGTAATAAAAGAAAAATTTGTTTATGTTTTGCAGCAACGCCAAAGGGAAAGTGGTAATACATGTTGTGCTGAAATTTAAATCCTGTTGTGAAAATAGTGCAGCAAAATTTTGGGAAAGGATTGAAACCATTTTACATGAGAAGCTAAAGGGCCAAACTGGCTCATTACTGATAGATTCTTCTTCATTCAAATTTTCAGGTAAGAATATATATATGTATGGAATGGTTTTCATATTTTATTTTGAATACAGTGTTTTGTTATACAAATGAAAATAGCATTATTTTCTTTAAATATCATTTTATATAAAATGATAGCTACTTTTATCCACTATTAATATAGTCAGGGTCCCAAATCATATTTTGTAAAACAAGCCACCCTTGAACTCATAGCTTCTTCTGTGGAGCACAATGCCACCCTAAATTCTCCTGATATCTCAGAAATCTAAATTCTTAAATTCCAGAATTGTTTGAGCCACTTTAACATCAAACTTTCTTCTTGATATATTTTTAATGGATTTGTCTCTCTTACAGTCACATATGATCCAATCCTTATTCTTGAATAGCTAACAATATTGCCTGATAGCCTGTGAAAGGTGGGAAGAGCAATGCAGCCCACATTGGACTAGGCTATCAGCTTTCTACTCCACTGAGTTAAGCGAGGCTACAAATTTGACCAAGGGCAGAAAAGTATCACTACCCTACAGGAAGGACTAACAGATCTGGGGTGGGGGATGTAGGCTAAGCACTCATTTACATGGAACATCCAAAGGATCAAAAAGCAAAATTTGAACATGTTTCTCCTGGATAAGAAATCATCATGTTGTTGAAATGTGACTCTCCTCTGGTTATTAGATGTTCTCTTACCACCTTCCTCCCTACACAGCATACCCTCTATGTAGTGACCTCAGACAAACAAAAAGAAATACAGCAACCTGCCAATCTGTAGAGAAATCCAAGGAAAGATTTTTAAAAACTCATCTGCTAAAATCATGAAATCTAAAGATACTATTTCTAATAGTCTTCCAAACTTTAAAAACATTATGTACAATTCCAAGAAAACAGACTTCCTTCCAGATGTATGGTTTTTCTCAGCAGTTTTGTTACAATGTCATTCTTTAGGTAGAGCAGTGACTATTATATGTGACCCATTATGTCCAGACAGCTTTGGTATTGTCTTACTCTCTACCGGTTGCTTAGAAACTCCCTCCCTCTTCACCTTCCTCAGCTCAGAAGTGAGCTCCCTCACAAACCTTACTGGAGTTTCCCAAGACCAGGAGTAAATCCCATGGCTGACGAAACCAGTCCTCCCAATTCACACTAAAACAAGTCGATATAAGGCTCACATTCATGACCACATTCACCTTCAGTGAGATGAACTGTTAAATTCATTGTCACTACAAAAGTGGGTCTGGGCTGCAAGAAGTTCAGAAATTTATGGAATTAGGGCAGAGTTGCTGTTACATCACCTTATTGAGTACTCTGACCTTCTTACTCTGACTGATTACTTCAGTTACTTAGCATCTGCATCAAAACATGTCAAGATTGTAAATTTCCTTTTTATACAAGCTGCTTAACATAGAGGAAGGAAAGTCACTACCTTCTACCACTATGGTTTAGATACTGTTAGCCAATGCTATTATGACAATGAATAGCTGAAGACAGCACTCGTATCCCATGCTACAATGCCTGGGAGAGGGTGCTATAGCACAGTGGTTAAAACGATGGATACTGCTATTCAGTGGGCTGAGATTTGGATCCTAGGACTTCCACATGTCAGCTGCTTGACTTTGGGCCTCAGTATAACCATCTCCTCATGATAATGGACATGATAAGAAAAAATATTTCATACGATTGTTGTGAGGACTTTAAAGACCTAATACATTATAGAGCACTTTAAAAACACACCTGATACAAATATCATTACATGTTGAGTTTTTATCAGGAGGGGGAAAAAAGTAATTTTATAGATAGACAGATAATAAGCTGTTATGTCTAGTAATACTCGTGCCCCTGAGCTCCCCCTAAACTCAGGTTGCTCTCAGGGTAAAGGGGAAGGAAGTGGAGATGTTCCTAAGGAAGAATGACCTCACAAAGCACTAGGACGGTCAGGGCACCTTAGCTTCCATTCAGGCTCCCACCAAAAAAGGAATCCCTTTATCTCACAGACTCTTAATTAGGAGATTATTGTGTCATACACTTTAAGAGTAAGTTTCTTTTAGGTTAAAGTGTCTCTAAGGTTTCTTTTCGAGTACTGAACATACACATCTAAGCACTTGTATAGTACCTGGCATAAAGCAAATATAT